TATAAAATAGTGCATTGAAAAATAATTAACAAGTATAATTTAATACTAAATCGAAATCAAAACACAAAAAAATCACAAATATACGCAAGATAACAAAGAATTGACGACAAAAAAGTTTACAACAGCCACAACACAAACAACAAAACAGAGCAGAACATAAATATAATAGCTGAACAAAGCCAAGCCTGGAATTTGTTTACAGTCACATACTTTGATTACCATGCGGTGCAAGAGAGAGGTACGACACGCCCAACATAGGGCGCGGCCATTTTGATTCCTATGTCACAGTTTATACCTAAAGAATCAGATCGCTCACTCTGCGTCGGCACTTTTGATCTCAATGTTCCAGTTTATACACTGCGCAACTCGGATAATACAATATATGATAACCGCCTATAATAAAACAGCAGTCTTCTGCGTATCCTGAATTTGTATCCCTGGAGTGTACGTTATTTTAGAACTTTCAACTGGTCCGAGTGAGCTAACTGATTCTTTAGCAATAAACTGTGACTCCAAAAATAATATTCACTGACAGTGACAGCAGCAAGCAAAATATCAGGTGCGTTTTAATCATCCGCTTCTGCTTCCGGAATTGTCGGTTTAGTCGTTTTAACCTGTCAGATTAAAACAAGAAAACCGACAATGCCGAAGCAGAAGCGGATGATTAAAACGCACCTATTAAAAATATAGCGCCAAGATGTAGGCAACACGTAATAAGGGATCAAACTGGCGGAGTTTTCTATCTCCTTTTAAAAGGCACTCAGAAAGCTGCACAGTGCGACCATTCTCCGTATAGTAAAAGAAAATCAAAGTATGTGCTCGTGATGGATGCGCAGACGATACCTTATCATTCTACCCCCTCCAGTTCATTGATCTTACCTATGAAGACAGCTTTGTCCCAACATCTCACAAAACCGTAATATTACGGTCATCGTCATGCGCAGTAAATAAAAACCTATCAATAAAGCCCAAAGTCGAACGGTTTTTATTTACTGCGCATGACGATGACCGTAATATTACGGTTTTGTGAGATGTTGGGACAAAGCTTAGATCTAACCGAAGTGGACGTGATACATTGGCGTACAAAATTATTTTGTAGATGTTAATAACAGTTTCGAGTAAATAGTTTAATAAATTATTGTGAAATTTCGTAGAATTATGATTTGGATATTATACATGTTTAATAAATATTTATAGTCCATAAATACATGCGTTTATCCGGTTCTGCTGGTAACAATTTAAAATTACTTATTATATGAAACGACACTTGCAGATAAACATTACTGCAAAATTCTCGAAGTCATCCGACGAGGTTTGACGTTTACCCCCTCTCTACCTACCAAAAGTTTTTCCAACTTCTGCCCTGCTAAATAAGGAATAAGGAGGAAGTAAACTAGGAGTGAGATTACAGAACGTCTGCAACTTTGCAGATCTGCAAATATGGCGGCAATTTGCAGATCTGCAAATATGGCGGACTTACATGCAAGTATCAAGTTTTCGTATTCCAAAAAAGATCTGCAAATTCGCAATATTTATTGTGATTTATTACCCCTAACAACACTAAACCCAAATCCATTACTATGTTTAACAACTCGATAATCTGACACCACGCACTGTATTCAATCAAAAGAAACAGAATACTTCATGGTTGTAGGATGTTCTAACCTTCTTAAGGGTGGATTTGGATTTACTGTTGTTAGGGGTAATAAACCACAATAAATATTGCGAATTTGAAGATATTTTTTGGAATACGAAAACTTGATACTTGCATCTGTAAGTCCGCCATATTTGCAGATCTGCAAAGTTGCAGACCTTCTGTAATCTCACCCTAGGTAAATAAGGTGGTTTAATTGACACTGGTGCACACTGCACCAACAGCGAACGAAAGACCTTTTTATATCAATATAACACAGTTCAGCAGACAGCAGCTAAGCGAACGACTAGTATATACAACAGGGTCGGCTACTCTTTAAGGCTGCATGGCCACGCACCCCTCTTCAAAAATACCAGAGAATAAAATACTAATTAAAAATATTATTTATTTGTTGATTTTATAGTTTTTTCTATCGTCTCGACACATGCTATGAGTTTATTATGCCCCTACAAATTCTTCCTACAATAACAATTTATGAGCTTTTTGACTGGACTATAGACGGCCGCAAAAAGATTGAGGCCCGCGTTTCCAAGGAAACGTAGTGGGACCACAGACCATACCCTAGTGGGACACGCGCTATCGAGTACGTCTTGCAGTCGGCTGTTTTAGTGCAGATTAGGGCGCAATTTTATTGCGGTGGACCAGCATTCAGAATTTAGATAATGAGGCGTCAGGTGACTGTTTTGCTTTTATAGGTGGTTTTATAGTTTTCACGGAATTTTTACGAAGCACCATGCTAAATGATTGACTAAACGCCTTAGCTAGGATATTAATAAATAGAAATTTAGTACTGGAGACAAGTAAATTCGACGAAAAAGTCATGCAAAATTGTATTTCAATGAGGGATCGTACAGCAATGTTCCATAATTCCTACTCTCAAGCCAATTGGCGCCCCCACCTTCGCAGCTCACAAGCCGCCACTGATGTAAATAATTGATGAAATGTTGTTTAGAGTATGGTTCATTGGAATGATCACCTCTATACTATGCCTATAAAGTCCAACTTCAGTCATATCAATAAGAAGTAGATAACAAGGACTGGCAGCTCAAGGCTATATTTTCGGAGGGGGAGATGTAATAAAAGATTTGTATAAAAAGTAGGGTGGATTTTTAAACAATGTGCATGTACAATCTACTAGAAGATCATTTTTTAGCTCCCCAAGCCAAGTCATTACTTCTAGCATTTTGCACAGACTTATGTAAATGAAAGGCGACTCTTATAGATTGTAACATTGTAACAATTTTAACCTCGGGAAGGTCACGGTCCCCTGAAACCCAACACGAAATGCAGTGCATATGGTCACCCATAAAATAAAAGGCTCATGGATTGTGTCAAAATTTTAATCTCGGGGGGGGGGGGGGGTACTTGGGCCCCCCTTGTATATACAGCATTCAAAATCGATTCTACATAACCCCCCCCCCCAACACCGACGGTTCTAAAACAAAAAAAGGCTCAGGATGTAGAATATACTCATACAGGTTCTTAAACCTAAACATACAATGGGCTGTGAGCAATTGTGCCAGTGTAGTTCAAACCGAGCTCTCGGGAATTCTTATAGCAGCAAAATAAATCACCAGGAAGGAACATGCTCATCTATACAGATAGCAGACAAGCACTACTCACCCTGGACAGGGTTAGTACTAGAATATCACGCAGCAGGCAGCTTTGGCCGAAGGGCCGAAGTATCCATCAACAATGTGGTCAACTTAAGATGGATCAAAGATCACGTCACATCGAAAGGTAACCGCCTTGCTGATTCACTAAATAAGAAGGCAGCCATCCAAATACATTTTGGACCTGGCCCTTTCATTAAACTGACAACATCGGTAGTGACAAACCGAATTAAAGAACATTCCCGAAACTAAAGGAAAAATCGGATGAAACAAGAAGCTGCAGACTCGCCAGGGAGCTTTTAAGTTATTTGACAATACTTCAGCAAACAATTACTTGACTATGACTAGACACAATCTGCACCTGATACAGGCATTCTGGCTGGTCGTGTCCAAGTACGGAAGCACTTCCATATCATGGGACTGTTAGAATCCGCACTCTGCAGGGGGCGCGAAGAAGAAGAGGACACCATTTATTAGAAGATATGTGTTCGGCGAATGTTGGTTAACACCGGCCGACGTTGTCCACTACATTCCGTCTATAGGCTGGCTCACAAGCTAAAAGGTGCCGATCTATTTAGGAAGATGCACAATGGGCCTAATGCGTTACAGATACAGATACCCCCACAAGGATATGACAACAATTTGTTGTAAAACCGCTTCTCTGTAAAATCATTAATGATCTTAAACATCCTATCACGGTGATAATCTGATATACACATTGTGTGTATATACAGTTACTTTCCCTGGGATATCATTTCTGCCCGATTGATGCTGCTATCGAAAAAGACAGATGACAGTGCAGTTGCCGCCTTTTTAAGATACCTCTATTTGTGTAATAGTTTTATATTCATGATTTAACTTTTGTCAAACTTGATTTTCTTTTTTAATTTAATTGTTAAGTGTGTAGTAAACTAATGCCAAAAAGGGGTCAACGAGCAAATGAAAATACATAGCATCCAAAAACACCCTGCTATAATCTTATTAATTTTCCTGAACTGTTGATGTAACTGAATTTTTATGTGCCCCGTCTTAAGTTTCGACAAAATTTGCTTTTATCTACCTAGAGCTATAATTAATATAATGTTTAAATTTACCGTATACACCATTTCAAAAACTTTATTAACATATGCAGTGAAATAGACACGTATACGGTAATAAAATTGGTAACAACAAATGTAAATTAAAAACCATGTTAAGTGTAACTTGAAATTTAATTATATGGTTATTTTGTTTTCACTTTCACTTCAAAAGAATTATATATTTGTGCCTCTTATTAGTATACAAATTTATATTTATGAACATTTGTGTACGCATCCATAGCATTGTCTTCCAAAAGGGTTTAAAGCTGTTAGGACCGATTCCACCGTTGTGTTAAATGAAGTTTAAAATGACATTTTTACATTAACAATGTCATTTTAATCTCCGTTTAACACAATAGTGGAATCGGCCCTTAGGCAATAAATTTTTTTATGCTAAGAATTATCTAAATGAATAGTGGATAAACTTATTTTGGAGTGAGCTTATGCAAAACATTTTATTTTTATATTTTATTTATAGCACCCTATGGTCCTTAACCACTGAATCCGGACCTGTTTAAAGTTAAGATTTCAGATAACCCATAGAAAAATAAAAAGAGATAACCTTTGTATTTTTGAACATTTGACAACGTTGCATGGTACAGATGTTCGGTCTATTTCGTAAGTTCCGAGCTCATTTAGCTCAACCAAGTCATTATTTAGAGTCGTTTTTCTAAACGATTTTTAGGTTATTGTAAATATTGAAATAATAATAGAATAAAATAAAATAAAGTAAAATTTTTTGGGTGAACTACCCCTTTTGAATATTGCTCATTTGAAGGAATAAAGAAGAAGTAACAAGAACAAACAAGAATAATAATTTTAATGCATAAAAATTGTAATGTTTTTATTGCCCAATATAGTCATGAATTTCTTCTATAAACGATAACAATACCCATTTAAAGAATATAAGTTACCTAAAAGCGAAAATTAAGAGAAAATCATTAGAAGAATCATACAATATAAAGGCTAAAGGATGTCTGCAGGAGGTAGCCAAATTGAAAATTTACTCGAAAATGTTGAATTAAAACAAATGCTCGATTTTGAAACTCAAATTTTTTTGGATTTAGTGCACAACGATGGTTTAGTGGTTGCCTCAAAGTATGAATCAAATTCCTTACAATATTTGTATTTACATAAGAATTTTTTCAAAATATAAATAAATATACATTTCAGGGGAATCAATTTGGATTTGGTGATAACGAATCTGTTGAAAGTTTACTGTGATCCTGGAAATTTAGTTTTAGTATTGAATGCAAGCGAGATTGAAGAGAAGCATTATAAAGAACAGTTGAATGATCCCAATGTTTATACCATAACATTTAATTCGAGCATTAAAGATAGGTAATAGCAGCACCATTGCCTTTGTAGATTTACTAAGCAATTAGTTTGCACATTGTTGATAATAACTGTCATGAAAAGTTTTGTCATGGGCACTTATACGTTAAGGGTAAAAATCACAAGTTGCATTTACTGTTAGATAAATAAACCTTTTTAAATGTTTGCATTTGTTACAAACTCCACTTAAGATGATGACTTAAGTGGTTTTTGCATGGACATTGGAGTCAGTTTTTTTAAGATGCCAACTTAGTTTATCATCATCTTATTATTCATGCTTTATGTTACCTTCTCCTTACATTTTAAAATAATATTTGAATAGTTGGGCTAAGTGATCTAAGTGCCAAATTTAAAAACTGCCAGAAATCAAAGAATACTGCAGAAAATATCATGCTGAACATACAGGCAGCCTCCACTTTGAACGTGTTTTCAACCACTGTGATGAAATTGGCACTTAGATCTTTTAGTGTGACATTAGCACATAGATACTGATAAAAAAAAGAAAATTATCATTTTGGTACTTAGATCACTTAGCCCGACTACTCTACATTTATTAAAAGTTTTGACTCCATGCACAATTTTTCCATCAATACAAAAAAAAACTATTTTGAAACTGATTCAATAATAATAATAATAATACTTAATTATTTTTAAAAATTAAAAAAATACAAATGTTCATAATATATTAATATACAATCAAAAAATGCAACTTCATATATTTTTAATATATACCTATACTTTATATAAAATTCAAGCTATATTTTAAAAAATACCACACGAAATACAGAAACATCAATATTAATTAGATCTTAAAAAATTACATAATATTTGGTTGATATTTATATTTACAATGTTATATTGTTCTTTTTTATTTTACTATTTTCTTGATATCAATAAAATCAGATATGCTTCTTATTTTAAGCATTCTTTTATTTTTAGGGAAGATATATATTTGTCGGGAGGTATCCATTTTGTAACAACACGTATTTTAGTTGTTGATTTGTTGAAAAAACGGTTACCAATAGAAAAGATAACTGGAATTGTAGTATTAAAGGCTCACAGCATTTTTGAAAGTTGTCAAGAAGCTTTTGTATTAAGATTGTACCGTCAAAGCAATAAGGTCAGCTTTAAAACAATGAGTCCTTTTTAGTTCCATTGTATTTTGTTATGAGTTTTTGAAGAATTTAATTAATTTTTATCATGTATGTTTTCAGACGGGGTTTATTAAAGCCTTTACAAACAACGTCCAAAGTTTTACAGTCGGTTATGGTCATGTCGAAAAGGTGATGAGAGCTTTATTTGTAAAAGAACTGTATATTTGGCCGAGATTTCACAAGTCTATTCTACAAAGTTTAAAAATTCGACAGGTAATTTCATTATCAATATACTTCAGAATGACACAAAAGTATGAATTATATGAGTAGAGGTGTATAGTTTTATATTAGGTACATATTAAAATGACATTAATAACACATGAGTGGCATACAAAATTTTATCCAACAGCTGCTACCATTACGTTTTAAAAGATATATAAAAATTATTTGATATAGGACATTTTTGTCAATATTGTTTGGCTGGTCATTTATAATATGTGCTCTTTAAATAAGAATATCATGGTTTATGTGTTCTATAATAATTATGGGACTAGCTATGTCCTAGGGGTTTAAACAATAAATATATTCATTGGGATATAAATAGTGTAAGCTCTATATTGCCTTAAACTGGGATTCATAGTCCTTAATAGTATAAAAGGCTCTACTCTGGACATCAGGATCTAACACGTCTTTGTAAAAGGGCTGAAGGAAACACAGCATTCTTGAAACAATTTTATTCAAAACAGTTATATAAAATACTTGACACGCAAATATGGGGTTCAATTTAAAATATTAACTTATCAACTCCAATAAATATCTGGGTTTCTTACATCATAATGAACCAAACAAATTTGAATTTAGTTCATTTTGATTATGAACTAAATTGTTGGAGAATAGCTGGTTCCCCTTATATTTGTTAACAAATTCCTTTGACCATAGCAAACTGCAAAGAAAGAAACAGCACTGGTTTTTTTAGTTGAAAATATATCTTAAGATTTTTAATGTATTTTTTCAATAAAGTTTATAATTTTCTATACAAAAGGGCGGGTTACAACTCATAACTCGCCAGTGAATTGCAACTAAATAAATAATAGTTCTAGAAATATTAGTTGTTTAAAACTGTATGTTCAGAGAATATATGAAATTATCCCGTTATTTTGCATCAAATATAACATTTTTTAGCCCAATGTAATTGAATTGCATATCCCAATTTCGGAAAAAATGAAGAAAATCCAAACCTACACTTTGGAACTAATGAATTTAACTGTAAAAGAATTGAAGCGTCTCAATAAAACCATCGAATTGCAGGTAAAAATTGCCAAATTAACATTTCGGTTTCTATTTAAAGTTGTTTTTTCTTTTTTCGCAGGAAATAACAGTTGAAAATTGTTTAACGAAAAAATTTCATAAGATCTTGCAAGCGCAATTGGACGTTATTTGGCATCAGTTGAGTAAAAGAAGTCTTCAATTAGTATCGGATTTGAAAACATTGCGTCATTTGATGATGTAAGTAACTGCAAATCTTTAATGTACCGGGTTGCTAGGGTTCTATCATATTTTGTTGAAATCTTTTGAATTGTAGTTTGTCATCGGAAATAATTATTACTATTCTAGAACCATGTTCCATTCGGATCCTGTGTCATTTTATTCTACCGTGAAGGAATATCGTACTAAAGAGTACGTCCAGACAGCCAACTGGGTGCTTTTAGACCCAGCAGACTTGCTGTTTTCACAAGCAGACACGTTTATTTTTAATGCAGATAGAGGTAATGATTTTAGAGATAAATGGTATATTTGTATTAAACCATGAGTCAACTATAAAAGTACACCACAAATAGAATAAAAAATTCGACTTCCCTTTGAAGACTATAAAAAAAATGCTATAATAATTTCTATGCAATTCAAAAAAGGAGTCACTACCGGGCGTAAGTATTTATGATGCTTTTTAACAATACTATAACAGTAATCTAGTATTAACACCTAAAGTGCTATGGGGGACAGACGCTGTCCAACTTTTCAATGGTCACAATGAGACAACGTCGACCACTGTATGGCTGACAAAAAAATTCTACTAAAAACTGCTTCGGTTAGCATTAGTGCTATATATGCAAGTTAAACGTATATACTTCTTTCAATTATATTTAATTGCAGTTGGTTTTGGTTTGCTTTGAGTTCATATATAAGAGAAAAATTAAACTTTTCGGAAAAAAAAATCAAATAATTTTCAGATTATTTATACAAAAGTTAGTGAAAAAACAGGACATACAGTAATATTATAAGCAATAAGCTGTATAACGTAATTTTTTTGCACGATTTTTTAGTACATTCCTGCCTTACATGAGCAGACATATCAGTGTAACAATCCACACAAACTCGTTGGTATTCGGTCTCAAAAAGCTCATGTTCTTTTGTCCTAAACGTCACCAAAATTTCCGCCTTTTGTGTGCATTACCGTCGGCTGGACAGGTGCGTCATGGGGGTTATGAACTTCAATACTAGTTAGTGATCATGGGGAACAGGTGCTGTCCGACTTTTTTTTTTTTTTTAATTTAGTCTAATTCATTAGCTTTCTCTACCTCTCTGAGATAAACCGATATAGACGAGCTGGACTACATAGGCGGCTAGAAAGCAGTAGAAAGTAGGAAGAGCCAGTGTCGTCGTGATGTGTGTTATATTATTTAATGTCGGTTAGGATATTTTGATTTTTGCTAATTTTGACTATAATAGAATCGCTATCGACACGGAGTAATAAAACTGGTGTGGGTGCTTATATTATTATTTAGGGGGTACATAAAATCATCATTTAAAAATATATTTCTTGTTTTTTTTTTATTTGGTGTCATCGGCGTCGACTACTACGGCCATTAGCCTCGTGTTCTGTGTAGGCTTTGTTACTGTTTCCCAGCGCCACTTTAGGAACAGCACTGTTAATTAGAACCCAACAGTGAATGGTCGAGTGGGGAATCCTACCAAGGCATCAGAATTAATTTTAAATAATTAAATTAAATGAAAAAATCCCGGCCAACGGTGGGATTCGATCCTGAGACCTTCAGATCTCAAAGTCATGACTCTAACCACTGAGCCAACCCACCCCTAAAATTTCTTGTTATTGTTATGTAAATGGTAGAGTTATCTGTTTGAGTAAATTAACAACAAGGTATATAACAAATCTTTTTCAAGACCTATAAATTTGACTATTAAATTGTTTAAATCGTTATTCATCATTGACTTCTTGGAAATTTTTGATGTCAAGGTGAAATTTAATGACAAGTGGAGAGAAAGGTTTCAGCTTAGATTATAGAATGTAATCTAAGGGTTCAAAAATCTATAAATGTGACTATATTTGTATTAAAAATGTAAATGGGATAAATCCATAGATTATAGAAATCTATAATCTAAGGGTTATTCGTTATTTTATCATCTTCTTGGAGATTACCAATTCCAAGGAAAAACCAAAATGACAACAAGGGGGTAGGATTATAAGATGGTTACCTACCTAGGACTTGATATGAAGATAAGATAGGCAGTTGCAGTTAGTATCTTGATCAGTTCCCAATATTACCTACCCTGTTTGATTAGCATTCTATATTATCTATTACAGTAAGAAATTGTGGTTATTTTCGGTTAATAGTGCCTGTAGTATTGAAAAATAAAGTGTGATTCAAGTTTAAAGTTTACACCTGTGAAACGTATTAAAAAATGAGCGTTGTCAGTTAACGAGAAAATATTTGTAAGCAATGTTTATAATTGCCTAAGAATCGAAAATTCTTCGTTTTTATTGACGATACTGTTGAAAAGACAAGTAATATGATGGGTGTAAGCAAATTAACGATATGTAAGGTTATAAGTGAATTAAAAAGTGGAGTTGTTAAACCCCCAAAGAAAAATGCAGAAGGTAAGAAAAAGTGGAGTTTACTGAACAAACTAAAAGCGGAATAAGAAGAAATGTTCACGAATTTTATTTTAAAAAAGAGATATCAACACTTGCCAAGATTTAGGACGCAATCAATATTGATCCGTATTTTCCTAAAATGAGAAACACTACGGGAAACTCTAATAGATTTGAAGTTCAAGTGGAATAAACAGGACAGCAAAGCAGCACTTATTGATTCTGATGAAAGTGTTTGTTGGAGACGGAGATACCTCAGAACCATTTTTTTAAATTACGTGCAGAAGGCAAAAAATATTTTATTTGGACGAAACCTGGGTGAATGAAGGTTATACACAGTTAGCAAAATGTGGCAGGGCACAAACATTTCAATCTTCACGACAGGCTTTTTTTGAAGCATTATCTACAGGATTGAAGGTTCCTTCCGGTAAAGGACGACGTCTAATTTTAACTCATATTAGAAGTGATGACGGGTTTTAGGTCTGTTTCAACACACGCGAAAACGATATTATCGTTTACGCGCATATTGGAACAAACCTAATAATGACATTTTCTTAACCAGTTACATAATGTTCAACTTTGTGTAACTAGTTACAAAAAGTAGATTATTTTGACAGTTGCTGCGATTACAGAAGATGTTACTTTTATTCAAGTCAAAATTAGAAAAACATTTAAATATATAAGAGACACATTTCAATTGCAAAGAAACCTTAATTTCAGTAGTAACTCTAAAACAATGTCACTGACCTATTTGGTACATAATTTAACTATTAAATAAAATTTCAAGGAAAAAAAATACCCACTAGTTTCATTTCCCAAAAAAATATATCTTCCTCTATAGGTGGTCTATCAAAGAGATTGATTTGCTGTTGTTTTTTTTTAGCTAATTTACCTGACTTCCGACAAACAATCGATTCCCTACACCAGTTTTTTTCGAGTTCTTCAAACAGAAGCCGAATTTTCTTGCCTTTATGCTATTCCTTTATAGTTGACTTATAATACAGCTACATACTTATACAGAGTGTTACTTAACAGGTCGTAATTCCAAGGGCGCATTCCTGTACCAAGTCTGGTCTGGTCATAGTTAAAAAAAAATAATTTTTTTATTAATATCTCAAAGATCCTTTTGTCGATTTTGTTGACATTTGGCAGTGTTCTTTATTGTGATAAGATTTAAAGTTAACACTAATTAGATGACAATAATTATGAGTTCCAGTGGCGTCGCAGGGGCAGTCTCACGAATAATATTGACCAGAAAAATGTATGCTACTGGCTTATGCCAAAAAACAACTTTTTTTTATCTTACTTCGTTTTCGAGGAAAAAAAATAAAAACCACTTTATTGCATGTCGAAAAATTGTTAAAATAAAACCAATTTAACTTTAATCGTTGCTCATAAATAAAAATCTAGGCTGTTCAAGTCGGGCGATCTAGGTGGCCAGAATTGTTGTCCACAACCTCTTCAACGATTTTAGTAAGCTCCATTCAAATACGAGTCAATTGCTAAAGTGGGTTGGAACACCATCATGCATGAATCAATGATGTTCCCGTAATTGAAGAGGAACATCTTCAAGAAGTAAAGACGAATCATTTTGTAAATAATTACTGTCCGTTAAGTTGTCCTGGTAAAGAAAATAGTTCAATCAAACAGTCACCAATGATATAGATTCAAACGTTGAGAGAAAAAATTCCCTACCAATTTTTCGCGTACTAGTTCTCTTTGACCGCAAGTAGGACAGCCTTTTCAACTGCTGCAGTTCGAATTGAGGTCTTCCAACGGAGGTATTACGTTTAAAATTTCCAGATTCAGTCAGACGACGATGAATGTTTACGAATATTTTTCTGCCTAGAAGGACACGATCTGGGTAGCTATTCTTGAATTCGAGGGAATAGAAAACTGGTTTTTCCTCTTTTCCTGCAATGCACATAATTTATATTTTTATCTCGTTCTTCCCTCAAAATTCCTACTCCCTAAGATTTACGAATAGATAGGTACCCAGAATACCTTTCTTGATGGAGTTGCCGGGCCTCCGCGAAATTACCATTGGCATAAAGGAAATGCATTTGTGTCATCTCCAAATTAGAATAATTTTTTACCATTTTTTTAATAGCACAATCTACCTTTTGACCAGAGAAAAAATAATAAACTGTCACGGAAAGTCAAACATATATATTTTTTTAAAAAAGTCAGGGGCGTACTTTTTTTGTCCATATTATTCCGCGAGGCCACTGGAACCTTAGATAATTGGGTCATTTTAAATGCGAAAATGTTGACCAAATAGAATATAAAATAAAATGTTTTAAAAGGTAGGTAGGTGCATTTTTAATGAAGTGAAAACAAAATATGACTTTTTTTGTTATGAATATAATATTAATAACAATTACTTTTAACACCACAACACGAACAAAAAAGCTTTGTAAAACTGACAAATACAAACAAAGAGATAGAGATATTAATCTATTTCTCTCTAATTAGAATTTTCGACCATATCATGGCGACACAAACATTGTTCACTGTCCTCTCTTTACTACTTACTTACTCTGAGACTGGAACTAATAATTATCTTCTAGTTAGTGTTAACTTAGCGTCTTATCACTGCCAACAGAATCAACAAGAGGACATGGGCGCCGCCAGAATCTTTTCCGGCGGGGGAGGGGGGCAAGCATGAAAAATTGTGAATTCTTTAAAACAAATTACAGAAATGTAGAGATTTATAGACGCTATTCGCTACCGTGTAATACGCTACTATACGGAATAAGCTGAACTTAGGCGTGGTTGTCAAATGCTGCCGAATTTACCGTTTCAAGAGATTATAACTCTAAAAAATACACCGAAGGTCCAGAGCGAAAACCCGATAAGTAATAAAATTTAGTTATGAAGATATATTGCCGTTTAAGTATTTTTTTGTTCTTTTAATTACAAATAAATGGTTTTGATGGTTTGCCTGCGTCAGTTTATAGTACATATTACTTATAACGATTAAACGAATTGCTTTATTTATTTTTTCTAAATTGACGTTTGTTATAGATGTACTGAAATAAAGACAATATGATATCAAATTTTCGCTCTACTGATTAATAATAGTCCAGGATCCGTAAGTAAGGTCGACCTTCACCCATCTGTTTAATGGATAAAAGTTTTTTTTTATTAGACAAAATATGATTTTAAATATACCGCAAATGGGTTGCCTAAGAAAATACGGTCACGACCATTTTTTGTACAAATAAAGAAAGTATAGGAATCATGATAAAAGTTGCTTATGATGTCATTCTCTATTATTTTATCCCTGTACATGATTTCCCTAAAATGAACCTAATTCGAGATATTTGAGGAAAAGTGCAAATTACGAATTTTGAAGACAACTCAAAAACGGATAAAGAGAAAAACACCAAATTTTAAACTTAAGCTTTAATCTCTCCTGCGGTGAGGTGATTAAAGTTTAAGCATAGTCGAAGAATCTGGGGAATACTTTACAGGATGTCGTTTTTTTTATTTTAAGAAAATAAATAGTCTGGGCCGTATTTTCTTAGGCAACCCTTTTGTGGTATATTTATAAATATATTTTGTTTAATAAAAAGAAATTTTCATCCATTAAACAGATGGGTGAAGATCGACCTTACTTCGGATCTTAGACTATAAAGAGGTTCGAAAAAAAAAATGGATCTTTACTCATATATATCGATTTTTCTGAATACCAGTTAACAATACTTAGATACGAAATTTCACTAAACGGAGTATATTAACAGAAAGATTACTATGCAAGAGGATTTTTGAGATATTAATAAAAAAAACTATTTTTTTAAAACTTTGAAAACCAGACTTTTTAGGACACATTTTTATATGAACTTTTCTACTTGAACTTGGTACAGGGATGAGCTCTTATAATTACGGTCTATCATACAAAAAACCGCTAAGCTAATGATATTTTTTCTAGAATTTCATCCTGATTTCTGTCCCAAATGGAACCCTCTCCTGGAGATATTGAAAGTTGAAATACCTGCAGAAATGAAAAAAAGGGACATTAGTGATAGTACCATTCTCATTTTATGCTCGGATTATAAAAGTTGTTATCAGTTGAAACAGGTAAATTAAGCATATTCATAATAATAGCCTTTATTGTCCAACAAATTTATTAAATCCTTTTACAGAGCAAGTAAAAAAAATTATAAACACATTACCTACAATATATAATAAACAAAGCTAACATAAATTTAACGGAATCATCCCTATTTTTTAGCACAAATGGAGAAAAAAAATTAAATGAAAAACTTTTTTATAATAATTAACCAAACGAATAGCACATAATTTGATATTTTTTAGTTTATCTGTAAATATTTCACATCAATTACAGAAGTTATTAAAATCATTTCACATAACATTTAGCAATGAGTTGATTGATACATTTGTTCTCGAACTGCTGCATATAAAAAGTTGATTGATTATAGTGGAGTACATAGAGACATTCCAAGTAGCACCATAAAAACACTTGAAATCAAAGTTGTTCATAGCAATATAGCGCTTTACCTGGTTCCATACTATCTCGATCGGGTTAAGCTCGCAATGATACTGTGGTAAGCGTAAAACAGTATTTTGCAACAATTTCCTCAATCTTATATTTGTCGTATTCCTCTCTGTATGCATTGGCATCTTCAAGTAGCTCAGATTTTAAATAGGAGTCGTAAAAAAAATGTTTTTTTCAAACAGCCAGTTTTTTATTTCGGGTTTGTTCAATAAGGTAGCTAAAAAACTAAATTTCCGGGAATTATACGAAGCGTTATCCATAACAACAACGTTCTTTCGTCCGTTTTTAAGTAAGTTAGGAATCAGCAACTCCTCAAACCATTGCTCAAAATAGTCGGCGTTCATTTCATCATGATAATCGTCATCGTTTTTCTTTGTCAAGAAAACAAGCAGGGTGTCAGGTAAAAATCCACATTCATATACTGCATGAACAATATCGAAACGTGGTCCTCCTTATGTAGGTGCTTTGATACCTGTTGTTAAACCCTTTATAAAAGGATATATACGATTTTTATGGTGTTGTCACACCATGCATAGTTAAGCGTTTTACCCACGTTGACCCAAGTCTCATCTAAATAGATAACGTTACAATTTTCTTGGCGATATTGTTTGACGGCTCTTAAATACATGTACCGCCAATGAATGATGTCGTTTCGTTCTAACAGTATACTTTTACGACCACGCTTCACTTATTCAAAACCAATATCTTTCATCAGTCTACATAGAGTTCTCAAAGAAAATGAAGGTGAATTCAAAGTTGGAATGTGTAAAAAAATGATTGTGCACAAATTCTCTCAATAAGCTCTTAAAACCCTCATCATATGTATATTCGCAAGAATACATTATCTAATAACATTGACTATTATTAAAAAAATCAAAAACATTTACCGCAAAAAATTGGTTTTCAATCGTTTCTTTTGCAATATACAGCTCATTGAAATCAATACGATTTTCATATAAAACTGATTATAGCGTTGAAAATACCCTGTATAATCATATTATACTAGTTTGTATTGTTATAATGCGAAAAGCAAGCGCAATTCAATTATAAAATAAAATGCAGGATTCCCATTTAAAAAAAAAACTATCTTTGATATGTATCACTTTCTTGAAGAACTCTGTATAATTGAAATTATTTTTAAATTATTATCTTTTCTAATATTCTGTGCAAAGAGATTTTTTAAAAAATAAATAGAGACGTCACCAACTGAGGACTGAAATATCCCATCCTTGCCGTCGAAAGGACGTGGTTAAACCAATTACCCTTTTGACCTCACGTCTAAATATAATAGCTTGATGCGTCGGTTAACGTACTGTATAAATAATTTTATAAATATGTAAACGCAACTGAGTTAATCTTTTAGTTCGTAAAAGATCTCTAGCTATTTATTCAGAAAATCATAATGACAGATGTTTACACATTGGTTATTGTTTTAAACAGTAACATCGTCTTCATATTAATATACAGTGTGTTTCATAAAGTTGGATCCATAAGGGATTTTTTTTAACTTTACAATTGGAAAAAACATCGTAAGGCACTAACATCTGCTTTTTTAAAAACTTAAAATATCACATATTAAAGTTGGGTAGGTATTGCATTAGATATCTGTCAAATTTAGTAACTGATGCGAAACCTCTGGTCCTATTACAAGAATATGGCCCAGACGCGCCGTGCGAGGTTTCTAAACGCACTCCAGTTTGCAATTTTTTCCTCAAAATTATAAACAAAAGCGCCATGTTGCTGTAAATTAACTATAGTTGAAAATGGTTGCTAATTTAAATGTAGTGTTATGTAAACTCGTCGATTATTCTTCCCAAGTTTGAAAATTTTTCTAATTAATGTGACATTTTCAAAATAGGGAGTTTTTATTGAATGGTTTTTATTTATTCTTAACTTCCTACACCTGCAATTAGGTCTTAACCTGCTGGTTGTATAATTATATAAAAATTCAAAACATATTATAAATTCTCCACTTTGTTGTAAAACGTAAAAGCTGTTTCCAAATGTACGAGTTACGTTCAAGAATGTTGGACAAAAATTAACAAAAACATAAATCTTTTTGTAAGAAAAATAATTAAATGCTAATTTTTTACAGATTTTAACGAACGGTCCCCACTATTACTTGTATATGACAGCAGCTTTCAGATGCAAATTACCAATAAAGAAGGTAAGTAAAGCTTTTAGAGTAACTGACAGAATTCCTGAAGAAATTGTCATACCAACCGATAAAAAAGAAACGCCACAATCGTCGAAGAATAAAAAACTGAAAACTGATGATTCAAAGTCCAACAGCCCCGAAAGTGAATCGAAGAAAACTGCGGAAGAACCAACAGACGATGAGGATTTTCAGAACAGTTATATCCTTACGATGAGCCAAACGATTTTGGAAGACAAACAAGATTCCGCGAATAAAAGTGATTATGTATTTGAACCATTTACACAGGTAAAATTATCCTAATGAAAACCCTTGAACATCTATTTAGGTTTGCGTTTTTGTAGATGGAGAATATGGACTTGACTCATATCTGTCAAAGTGTAAACGAACCGAAAATTCTTATTCAGACTTTTAAGGGCTCAAACGAATTCATTAATTTGCAAAATACTTTGGAGAACGTTCGACCGGATTTTATCATCATGTATCATTGCAGTATGACAGCAGTTAGAGAAATTGAAGTAAGATTCATATCTGAATGTTTTTTTGCAACTTTTAGGTTTGTAATACATTTTTATAGTCTAGAGAAGAAAGGAGTACAGTAATTTAATTTGCAGAACGTAGTACAAGAGGTAGAAATTTTATATATAATAAATAAATATACCTCATCCTTATTTGTAGTTAAAATGAAAATTTTAATACATCTGATCGTCCTAATAAAAGTTTTCGTTTAGATTTAATCAGGTTTCCATGGTTTTTACTGTAATAAACCTTTTCTTTTGGCAGATAAGTCAAACTTTTATTTATTTATAGCCGTATCGTATGTATTTTAATTGATTCGGAATTTTATATTAAACGGTCACAGCTTAATGGGAGGTAGAGTATACTTAGCTGAGTTCAAAACACCCCATACTTAGCCCTTAATCTTACTCGTTTCTGAGATATAGGGTGTTTTATGCTTTTTTGCCAAAACTAAACTCGCCATTTTGTTTAAACGGCCAGATATATTTTGATAAAATTTTGTACAAAAGTTACACTCTCTTAGGTTGATCAAAGCCATAATTTAATTTAAAAAAATTCTTATTACTCTTCTTTTTATATTGCTCTTCTTAGCTAAAGTATCACCCTGAATATCGGATTTTAATAAATGTTACTGGACATTTAAATAGTACATGGATCAATAAATAAAATAATGTATTATTATTTAATGGCCCCATCTTGACTTTCTTACAGTCATTTTTTATAATGGCGACTACAATATTATAAATTGGTTTTTACAATATTAAAATCAAATATTTTAATCTGTACTTTTAAAACTTTACACTAATTAGGTACCATCTTCACTTTTTTAAATACAGCATTTTCCATTAGAAAATTGGAATATCTACACAGGACCGGGCTCACTTTATTTAATAAAGTAATAGAACAAACTAATAGAAACAATTAATTAAAATTAAAGTAGATTTTAAAAATGAACACCGTGAACGCCAATACACCTCTGCGAACGTTTTAACAGGTTTTTCACTGATTTGTCAATTATTTCCGGTTTATTTCTAATGTTGTTACTTACATAAACAAGTGATTTTTATAAATTCCACACCAAACATTTTATGTGTGTTCAAGTCGCTGTACTTTTTGTACATAAAATAGATACAAATTTATTTATTTTTTTAAATTCTCCATACACTTGTTTCTGGTACCTAGGTACTGTTTATTCATTACTAATTCTTACACTAACAAAAAGATGATTTTGAACCACCTCATTCATTTCCTCTCACCACGTTCATCTTTAGGTAATTATACTTGGAAATTAAAATGAAATAAAACTTTAACGAACTAAAACTCTAATGAAATCAAATTTAAAAGTTCAGAAAACTAGGTATTTTATAAACGAGCTGAAAACTAAATTTAATCAACTGCCAATATGCGCCAAATTACACCATCACTCTTTCCGTCCTAAACATGATTAATGTGAAATTGTATAATACCAGTAGGCTTGTGTCAAATAATATCATTTATTTCGTGTACAAGATTTTGAGCTAAATTACTTTTGTTCATAAGTGTAAGTTTCTAATGATATGAAAAAAGTATTTCAGGATACCGTTTCAATTTAGTAGTGAAAAATATTTATACATTATTTTTGTGTTCGCAGACGCTTTCCTAATCGCCGTTTACCAAATTCTAAGACATTTTCGCAGGTTTTCGAATTCAGTAACCAACATGGAAAGTTTCCAACTACAGTTAAACATGAACATGCTCCGAGAATTAATCTTCAACAAGAAGAAGAGATACTACAGTTAGCTCGAAAAAAATCCTTTATCGGTATGAGAAGAATTAGTCATTAGCAGTACCAATAACAAGAGTATGAAAAACTTTATAAAAAGAAAATTTGCATCCATTTCATGTACAAAAAGTACAGCGACTTGAACACGGAGATGACGTACCCCGCTTATCTTTTTATAGATGGACTTTGGCTCACAGAAAGATAATATCGAGAATTTTATTTACTAATGAATCCAAATATACACGTGATGGGATCAATAACACTAGGAATGGTAATATTTGGGCAACTGAAAATCTTCACACTGTATCACAAAAACGTTCCCAATATAGATTTTCTATAAATGTATGGTGTGGTATTTATAAAAATCATTTAATAGGCCCTCATGTTTTTGAAGGCAGATTAACAGTTGAAGTTTATTTAAATTTCCTTAGAGACATCCTTCCAAATTTGTTAGAAGGAATTAATATCAGAGGAATGTGGTTTCAACACGATGGTGCTGGACCTCATTTTCCAATACTGGTCAGAGACTATTTAAATCAACGTTTCCTAAATAGATGGATAGGTCGAGGCGGTCCCGTTAATTGGCAACCAAGATCTCCAGATCTAACACCTCTGGATTATTTTTTATGAGGCTACCTTAAATCAGAGGGGTACAACGAAGAAATGAATACCCGAGCACAGTTATTGGACAAAATTAATAATGTATGTAACAACATTAGAAATAAACCGGAAATAATTGACAAATCAGTGAAAAACCTGTTAAAACGTTCGAAGATGCGTATTAACGTCTATTTTGAAAATCTACTTTAATTTAAATTAATTATTGGTTTCTGTTAGTTTGTTCTGTTACTTTTTATCAAATAAAGTGAGTCCGATCCTGTGTAGATGTTCAATTTCTTATTGCAAAATGCAGTAGTTAAAAATAAATGAAGATGGTACCTAATTTGTGTAGAGTTTTAAAAATACAGAATAAAATATTGTATTTTAATTTTGTAAATACTGATTTATCATATTGTAGTCGCCATTATAAAAATTTACTGTAAGAAAGACATGATAGTGCCATTAAATATTATTACTTTATATTATTTATTGATCCATTTATTATTTAAATGTCCAGTAACATTTATTAAAATCCGATATACAGGGTGATATTCTAGCTACTAAGAGCAATATAAAAAAAGTCCGGTTCTGGAATTCAAAAAGAATAAATAAATTTTGGTTCATTATTTAGTTGTTGTAAATGTTTCAAATTTATACACGTTTATAATTACTGCAGTAAAAATATACGAGTCATATTAAAAATCCAAATCAAGAAAAAACCAAACTTATATGCATTTACAAACAATAAAATTATCCAACAAATTTTATCCAAAAAATTTAATCATCGCAAAATATATTTTTACCAGTTGACGATTTCATTAGTAAGAAATAGGCAAAATACAACCTCACTCTCTTTGGTTGGCATTACAAAATCTATACCAAGATACAGAAGTGGGAATTGGACGTTGATTCTCTGAAAGTCAATTCAACGAGTCTACTGATAATTCCCTTGATGTATTATGGTTACAAAAAGGTTAAACTTTGATTGTTGGAAGTTGTAAGTTGGAAATCGAAAATTAGAAATCGAACATCAGGCTGCCAAATATTCGCTGTCTAAAAAAAAATAAATTCTGTTTTTTCACGGTGGCCTTACAAGAAATATAAGTTAAATTTTCAAATAATATTTTAAAATTTCAAACAATTAATAATTTTACTTTTTCATGCTACTAAAAATGAATAATAACCATATGAAATTCCAGCAACAAGTATAGGATACATAAAAAGAATGAATAAACACATATCGAATAATTCAAAATTGATATTCGAAAATTATAATTAAAAAATAGGTATAAATGTGAAGATTATTTAGATTTTTCCAATGACATTAGCAAACTTACCGCTTTATCGTAGTCGAGGCATGTTATTTCAACTCAACGATTGATTTAGGAAAGAAAGCAGAGAATGAATTCAAACACCGCATCGCGAGGTTTTCCCTCTCCACAACGTTCATCACGCCAACAACCACATTTTAAATAATTTTAATAGAAATTAAACTATATTTTCGGGATGGCTCTCATGTAAAATAACATTATTAAAAGTTGATTTTTAATATGTTACACATTGGAGAAAATGCATTGATCTTGTTAAAAAGGTGGAAAATTTATTTTGCAAAGTGGATATAGCAGTAGAAAACTTAATAGAGCCTATAATAATAAACCTCAGAAAAGACAATGCTAATGATACCAGTAGTTATAGTTTTTATTCTTTGATTTTAAGTACTGAAGTGTTACTTTTAATGCCAAGATATTTAAAAAGTTTAAGCCCATTAACAACATATAAACCTCTTTGTTATTTATTGGTTAAATTTAATTCGTTCAATGTTAAATTACAACAATTTTGTCAGAAACAAGGTTTATTTTTATTTTTTGTAAATAATTAAACTGTTTTCATTTAAAATTTTATCTATGAAGTGCGTATATACTATTTTATATACCGTGACCTTATAAAGGGTGTCCCAATAAGAACTTGAATTTTGAATCGCGCACCATTTCCATCTGTTAAACATCAAGTGGGCCATATTAGGCATGTGTTCTGTCAATACATTGATATTAACGAAAATGCCGCGTTACACTCTTGAAGAACGTTTATTAATTGTGAAGACCCATTACAGAAATGGAGAAAATTTTACAGTGACAATCGCAGGTTACGTGAACATTTCGGTGTACATAATCATCCGTCGCGAACCGCTTTTGAAAATTTGATCAACAAATTTGAGCGGACATTTGCATTGAAAGAGGAGACAAGTGTTAAACGTCATCCTGGAAGGTCTGCTGAAAACATCGACGCCGTGTTAACGAACATCCAAACACTTCCATCCGATATCGCGGCCAGGAATTAAATATCAGTGGCAGTACATTAGAACAAATTTTGACAAAGGATTTGCATCTTCGTCCTTACAAAATACAGTTGACGCAAGAGATGAAGCCAGCCGATCATAGAAAGCGCAGAAACTTTGCGAATTGGATATTGGAACAAAACGGAGTTGACGATGCATTTCACAACAAAATTATCTTTAGTGATGAGGCGCACTTCCATTTGAACGGCTTTGTGAATAAACGGAACTGTCGGATTTGGTGAGAAGAGCGTCCACATGTCGTGGACGAGCTTCCAATGTATTCTGAAAAAGTGACAGTTTGGAGCGCCATTTGCGAAGAAGGGATCATCAGACCTTATTTTTTTCAAAATAATGAAGATGTCTGAAACGGTGATCGCTTTTGTAGCATGCTGAGAGACTTGCTTTGGCTGGAAGTGAATGGAATAGATATAAGTAACGTGTGATTTCAACAGGACGACGCGACCTGCCACACTGCACACGAAACAATGGCGTTACTGCAAACTAACTTCCCAGGTCGTGTCATCTCTTAATTTGGAGACCAAAACTGTCCGCCGAGAAGTTGCGCTTTGACGCTCTTAAACCATTTCTTCTAGGGGTATTTAAAAACTATAGTATATGGGAACCATCCTGAGACGATTCGACAACTGAAGGAAGAAATCGAACGTAATATTTGTAAAATCCAGCCGATTTTGCTCAAAAACGTCTTCCAAAATTTCGTCAAACGAATATACACCTGTCAACGAAGCTGCGATGGCCATTTAACAGATATTTTGTTTCATGTTTAATGTCAACATTTTCTCTTGAAAAACCAATAAAATATTTGCATAATTTTCGTTAATTACTGTGTTTTCTGTGTCATTAAAAATTCAAGTTCTTATTGGGACACCCTTTATTTTACTATTTTAATTTCTTCTCCTCATGCAGAGGTATTTTATTAAACGATACTGCACATTTTTAACACAATTAAATCATGGACGCCGGCAGGGGGGACAAAAGGGGCAGTTTCCCCCTCTGGAAATTTCCAAATTCCCAAAAAAAAAAAATACAATAGCAACTTCTGTCAAAGATTTATTGGGGCATTAGCTTAACTGATTATAGATTGTATAAAGTGTTCATAGCCAATACTAGATAAGTCGGCAAAAATAGAAAAATGACTTTTTTAGTATTTATTTATCATAAACCATCCAAAACAAACCAAAAAGCGTGCATAATCGGGCCTTTATCGCACGTCGTGTATATAAAGGTTGCTCCAATAAATAAGATTAAATTATGTCAGATTTTATTTTGAATTGTCAAATTAATTGAATTGTTTACAAGTTTACCTAAATCAAGTAACATAAACAGAAAAATTATTCTATCACAACGTTAAGGCCACTCCGCTGCGCGTCGTGTCCTTTAACTCGTTGCTCATGCTCTAAAGGTGGATTTATAAACTACGTTCAGTTGGCGCTCAGTTCGAGTTGACAAGACATAACCACAAATTCCACAAAATAAATTATATTTTGTTTGTTATTTTTGTTTTAATTATATTTGTAGATGGTGTTGGTTATAAAATAATTATAAATCCGTTATAATTTCTTATCCAAAACATACTTACCATGTCATTCTGCTTTGTTTATGTTGAACTCGAACTGAGCGTGAACTGAACGCGAACTGAACGTAGTTTATAAATCCAGCTCAAAGGCTCGACTATGCATTATTATAATATATACTTTTATATAGATATCATCGAACAGTTTTTAGTGCTCTTTCTGTTAATATTCTCCGTTTTGTGAAATTTCGTATCTAAGTATTGTTACTGGTATTTCGAAAATTCGATATATAAGTAATGATAATTTTTTTTCGAAATTCTTTATTAATCAATAGAACGAAAATTTGATAATTTGATATATTGTCTTTATTTCAGTACATCTGCAAACGTCAATTTAGAAAAAATAATGCAATCCGTTTAATCGTTATAACTAATACGGACTATAAACCATCAAAAGCATTTATTTGTAATTAAAACAACAAAAAAAAAAAAAGAACTAAATTTTATTACTTATCGGATTTTCGCTCTTGACTTTCGTTATATTTTTTATTTCATCTCTTGAAACGGTAAATTCGGCAGCATTTGGCAACCACGCCTAAGCTCATTATATTCTGTATCGTATTACACGATAGCGGATAGCATCTATAAATCCCTACATTTCTGTAATTTGTTTTAAAGAATTCACAATTATGCATTCTTGCCCCCCCCCCCCCCACCCCTGGAAAAAGTTCTGGCGGCGCCCATGACTGAAATATAAATTTAGATTCAACTCATTCAATCAAAACAGAATGGAACCGCCTCAATGCCCTAATCAGGCTCCAAACCAACTTACACAAACAGCAACTATGGATCAATACCACTTCTAATTTGGATCATAGAGACGGCTCCAAGTTTTGGGACAAATTCCGAATAATCACGGGTCAAAAAACTAAATCACACTCCCACCTCCAAGTCGACGGTCAAATCCACTCAACCCCCGACGAAAAAGCCTTAGCCCACAAAACCCCCGACAACCCCCACTTTGACGAACAATTCAAACACATCCTTCAGACACTCGCCGGCCCATTCCCACCTATGGATGTCGAAAACCCCCTCACCTCCCCATTCACCCTCCAAGACATCCAATATGCCTGCCAAGCAGGCAAAAACACGGCCTCCGGGCCAGACTCCATACATAGAAGAACGCTGAAGCATCTTCCTGAAACCATCTTTCCTATCCTCACCCTTATCCTAAACTCCTGCCTCTACCTATCCTATTTTCCAGTTGCCTGGAAATCCGCAAACACCATTTTGATCCCCAAAGCAGGCAAAGACCCCAAATCCGTAAATTCATACAGGCCCATCTCTCTCATATCAGTCCTAGGGAAACTTCTCGAGCTTCTGCTCAAGGAAAGAATCTGGGAATTTTGTGAAGAAAGAAATCATACCTCAATCCCAACATGGTTTCAGACCCCACCACTCCACTCAGGACGCAATCTCTTTCCTTCACACTACTGCGGTCACAGCAGTAAACTCTCAACAAATCTCTTCAGCCGTTCTATTAGATGTTCAAAAAGCCTTCGACCAAGTCTGGCATGCCGGACTAGTCAAAAAGCTTATGAACATAGGTCTCCCCCCCCCCCCCAAATCTCCAAACTCATACACTCCCCCCCAAACCACCCTACATCCAAATGCCTCCTATACGCCGACGATACAGCTCTAATCTCGGTAGTCAAAAATTCTAACCAACTAAATATTCGAACCCAAAATCTGTTGAACCAGTACTCCCACTGGTGTAGCAGATGGAGGGTCTCATTAAATCCACAGAAAACACAATTGATGGTTTTTAAACACCCAAATTCCAAAAGAACCTCCCAGAACTCCCAACTCGTAAATGTAAATCTTTGTTTTTAGATGTATGAAGCGCATCGACAAACTGAAGAAGCAGTTAAAGTATATTTCCTCTTACATGCCGATACAGTAGAAGAACAAAGTTATTTAACCACACTACGAAGAGAAAAGGAAGCCTTTGAATATTTGATACAAACGAAATCTGTAAGCGGATTATTGATTTGCATTGGCGCACATTTAAATTTACAATTTTTAGACTATGGTGATACCGGCAGATCAAGATGGTAAATCCGAAGAGTGCTCTTCTCTTCAGATGGACGTAGCAAGTCCGAAAAAGAATACTCGTGAGGGTGGTAAAGAGCAAGCCGCTAAAAAGCAAATGATTATTGTCGATATGAGGGAATTCAGGAGTGAACTACCTGCTCTAATACATAAAAGAGGCATTGATATCGAACCAATAACTATCTCTGTAAGTAAATTTAATAGGTAGGTATTTTTGAACTATTCCAACGTTTTACAGCTAAAAATTATAATTAAATAAAATAAATTTTTAATTTGAAATTAGTATTCTCCCGGTCCTCTTCTTTGTCCCTGCTCCAACTCCTCCTTTTTTCCTTCCTATTTTCCTGTCTCCTGCTCTAACTCCTGCTAAAAATTTTAAATACATTTTTTTTAGATCGGAGATTATATATTGACGCCTGAAATTTGCGTGGAGAGAAAAAGCATTTCCGATTTAATCGGTTCGTTGAATACAGGAAGATTGTATCAGCAATGTACGAATATGTCTCGATATTATACAAAGCCGATGTTATTGATAGAATTCGATCGTAATAAGCAATTCGGATGGCAGGTAATACGTTTGTTTTGTTTTATAATGATTTATAAGGATTCATTTCTACCAAAAGGATGTATGTTACAAAATTTAGGGCAGTGTCCAATAAACATTTTTGATTGTATAATAGTAGTTACCGTTACTTTTACAACACTTTACTTATAAAACTTACAGTTATATATTTGGCAACCGTAACATTTCTATTGCTGCTATAAACCTCTTAATTAAAGAGCTTAAATGGGGCATTTATAGAGGTTGCGAACACCTTTGTTTAGTAACGCTAATAACTTAAAGTTGTATAAGTAATAGTAACAGAAACATTGTGGAAACCACTAACGCCCATATGCACCGTTTTAAAATTTAATCCAGATTTGCAAATCTCGTTTAAATGACTAGTGGTTATTTTCTATGCACCGGCTAAGGATTAGATAATCGAGTTTAGTAATCTGACAACATTGTATTTTTATAAATTTCACAAAAAAAGAAGAAGAAAACTTCAGATTTGAGTTGGAGAAATGTTTGTTAAAGGAAAAGAGGCCGTTTGAAGATAGAGGCCCCATTTTTTTGAATGTACCAAAACCGTAAATCAAATTTTACGCAGGGCAAAAAAATAATGTCAAATGAATTTAAAAAATAATTCCATGGTTAGATGGCAAAACCAGTAACTTTTTTGGCAAGTAACATAATACTGTTGTCTCTGATAATACATACAAATTGCTGTATCAAGCTTTTCTATGCAAAACGATATACCTGTGAATACTGTCCCTATATACTGTGCATGTTCAAAACTAGATGACATATTTTCAGTATTTAAAAGTGGACAATATTACATAAATAATATATGTATTGCTTACTTATTTTTACCCTTTTCAACATACCTGGATTTGCCATCTAACTACAGAATTATGTTGTAACGTTAGAATATAAAAAACTTCTTAAAAATTACAAAATTGCCCATGGTATAAAAATATTCATTCCTCTCGTAATTTTAACTAGAATATTTGTCACCTTCCAGGAAAAACTGCCATTATATTTCCGTTTTTTAATAAAATTCAAATGAAATAAATACAAGAGACACAAATAGAAAGTTCCAAATACACTGACAAACCGTTGACATCTTTTTGACGTTAGAAAATCTCGTTTAAATAATTTAATCCTCCGATATTGACGGATTAGAATAAAATCGGATTAAGAATGATTTTTATTACGGTGCATAGCTAAAAACGGTACTAAACGCGATTAAACCCTTAATCTAGATTAAACGTGTACGGTGCATACGGGCGTAAATAACTTACAAATAAATTCGTTTGAACACCTATAGTAATATAATATAGTGTTGTACATTTTTAGGCAACCTTTATATAACTTGCCTATAATAGATTTGGTAATGTTTCCGTTACCAGAGTTTCGTTACTTGAACATTGACATTTCTCACTCTGTCATTTGTCAAAACCTATTTAATCTTCTCTCTCAGATACACTTATTTATTTATTTATTTATTTATAATCTTTCTCTATTCCAATAATAAAATAAAATTTTATGTTCTGGTTGGGCATCATCGATAGAAACAAAATTAAAAAACCTATGTACTATTATTGTTGGACTTTACTGACTGTTGGGTTTCTTAAAATTTTGGTGGGAATCGTATTTCATTGCAAAAGTTAATGAGATACTTCGAAGAAACATAAGGGCCACTATAATTTCCACTAATAATTATTTTTAGTTTATATTTTTACTTTAAATATATGATCCAAATTTAATTTCACAGCTTATTACTAACATTTACTATTCCGATATTTCATCAGAACCAAAACATGTTTATTTAAGATTTATTTAAAAAAATAGGTTAATTATTAAGTTTTTGTATATATGGTTCGTTTCCAGTATTTTTAAGATTTTTGTAAACAAATATGGCGGAATCACGAGTACCCTTATATAACTTAAGACGTCACTAATATCACTAAAATAATGTTATATAACTGTTAGTAACAATATATATCTTATAGTTGCAACATAAAACTTAACAACCTATAAAATTCCTATATAATTTGTAGTAACACTTGTTACCATAATGAAACCAAAACGGTAATTCATTTCTGTCAAACTGTCAGACGTGATGTCAAAAATTTAATCTCCGTCCACGAGCAACCATAACCTGAAATTATTAAATTATCTCCACTGTCTTTCAAAATAGTGCAAATTAAAGAATTGGGGGCTAAGAGGTCTCTACTTACAATTGTCATATCAGCTTGGGAAAAGGATGGCTCTCTTTATTGGCCTCCTGCCAAAAAAAAGAGCATTATATATAAAAAAATACGCGATGGAAATTGCAGACCGGAGGCAGAGTGGGTGCCACAGCCCTGCTCTAAAAAAAGAAATATGTTTTTACATACGACCATTTATTGTGGTATTCATTATTGTCAACTATTTCCAAGGACTCATTTTCAACTACATGTAATAAAGGTAAAGTTGCTGTACTGATATCAATGTTTTGATCAAGAATTTGTGTTTCTTCATCATCACCTTGATTTTGATTGCATTCGGTCGTCACACTATTTAGGTTATTACTAACACTTTTCATGTTATATGATGAGGAATATAATATCTTTGTAAAATTTTTTGTTATTTTACGACGAAATGGCGTGCTGTGCTTAATGTTTTTCCAGTTATTCATGATAATAATATCTCACTACAAAAATATTACTCATAAGCAAGCTATAAGCCATATATAATAAAAAAATTAAAAAAATTAAAAATGACATATATATTAGGATAATTTGTATTACTGATGGTTGCAAAGTTTTATAAAAGAGGCGATATAATAACCAATAGTTTTATAACAACCACTTCCTATCAGTTTTTATAAAGGTAATTTAAGACACCATTAAAAAACTTAAGGTATTTTAGTTATATAGAGTTACGGTAACCCGTATGTCACCTTTTTATAAAACCACTAGTAACCGTTATAATACCATTATAAAACCTGGTTACCAAAAGGTACAGGTTATAAAACCCCAAAACCTTCTTATATAAATTTGTTACTATTATACATATATGTATTATAAAAATTCGGGTTACCGTAAATGTTTATTGAGTGTCGAATTGTCTTGTAAAAATCTTGACCAGTTAGCGTTCATCTACCTGTGTCATGATCTAAGTGAAACTAAATATTATATTTGTGTCCCTTGCTATTCAAATGAAAATAGACTTATGTGAATTAGGATTGTGTTTAGTAATTTTTTTAGGATTATTGAAATTGCAATCTCTACTTTATCTGATTTAAGTGAGATAGAAAATAATTCTACTATTTTAAATTTTATTTTAGAAATGATCTGTTATATTTGTAAACTGGTGTGGAATATTTATTTGTGATGCTTTAACGACTTTTATTCTGTAGGCAGGGTTGTACTCAAAATGCTTGTGCAAGTGAATTAATTTTTACTGTATAAGGACTTGTATCGAATATTTGGAATTTATTATTTTTTTGTTTTTGTAGAGCAATTACATGATTTCAAGTGATTCGAACAGCTTCGACGTTCAACAAAGATTGCTCGTGCTAACGTTACATTTTCCCAAATTGAAGATTATTTGGAGCCCTAGTCCGTACGCATCTGCGCAACTATTTGAAGAACTGAAGGTGAACATAATAATAATAATTATTATTTTTTAGTTTTATACATTATTTATAACTTTCTAGACACCTAATATTAATTACATCTATTTTAGTTAGGAAAAGAAGATCCAAACGTACAATATGCTTCTTCTTTAGGCGGCGAACAGGATCTAGACGTGATACAATCGAAGTATAATTCTAATATATACGATTTTGTATACAAATTACCTGGAATAACCTCTAAAAATATCGATATGTTTTTGAGGAAGGGCGTCAGCTTGAATGAAGTTGTCAAAAAATCAGAGGTAGGTACTTGGTCGTCTTAATAGTCAAAAAAACTTTAGGAGATATGAGCCGTCTGCAATACTAGTCGTTAAGAAATAAGCGAAGCTTAAAATGACATTTTTAATGGAGAAATGTCACTTTAAATTTTGTTTATTTCTTAACGACTAGCGATACGAATGGACCTGAGATGCACTATCGAATTATTGGTTTAAAAGTTAATGTTGATTTTTTTGTTTTTTAGGAAGAACTAAAAGAAATTTTAGGTAATTCAGTAGACGCTCAAGCATTGTATTCTTTCATTCACAATGAACATAAACCCAAACAAGAGGCCGAAGATAATAAACAAAAGGACAAACAAAAAACTCGATTCAAATCTTTCAAAAAGAAATAATTTTGTATTTTATTGTCTAGATTTTAATAAATTATTAATTTTTTAATAGTATTTTTTTGAGTTATGGGTTGAAAAAAATTGCAATTTAATTTCAGATCACTCATAAACGTTAATTCTATCAGGTAAAAACTTTTTTTTTTTTTATTAAAATTGTACAATAGTAGAATCGCAATCGACACGGAGTAATAAATTAATATTTTATGGGAGTTTTACAGCACAGGCGGCTCAAACAAAATCTGTGATTTTAAACATCCGGCAGTTATGAGGTGTGGTGATTTTAAGAATGTTACCTGCGTCGCCCGGTTTTTGTGGCACGTAACAATGGGCTGCTGTTATTTTAATCTCTTTTAAGACTCTGATGAGCGCACGGTTGGGTAAAAATAATTGTAAATTAACCGCCGGGGTGCTTGTCCCCTCGCCTCTAAAAAATTTTTGGTTGGCTAGCCAATTTTTTGTTTTTTTGGTGGCAATATATCATGAACTTGGTAAATTCATTATTTTCACCACTTTTTTGATATGCTCCGATTTTGCTCGCGTTTTTGCAGTCTTGCACGCTTTTGAGCTTTTTTTGGTGGTTTAGTTACTGGCAACGCTAATTGGGTGGTCTCAACGCCGCGCCTTCAGACCCTACTCCTTTTTTACTAATATGATTATAACATTTAGATATAAAATAGATATGCTTACCTACTCTCGAAGATCAGGAAACGTGAAAGTCTCTGAATATATTTTGATGAGTCATTATTTACTGATATTATTAAAAGTGTCACTGTAGTATCGACTTCCAAGATTTTGTCCAGATTCCACATGTTTTCTTCTTTTAAAACATGCTCGATTGATTTGCCAATTTTCCTTCGTAACAAGTGATATGAAGGTTTCTAACAATGCTTATACATCTTTTAACTTAAATGTCGTATTATGCATAGAAATAATATAGAAGACCAATATAAACATAACATTTAAGCAGAAATTGAAACCTACTGTGCATAAAAACGCGTCTCTGCGCCTGACATCGCAAAATAGTGTGTCTAGAAGCTTGCGCAATATGCATGACTTGTCCCTGTAGTGTTGCCAAATATATTAAACATACCTAACAGAAAAGAATTTTAAATTATATGATTTAAACAGTTTATATCTACGAAATATCGCCACAAAATAACTTATACACATTTAAATAATCAACTAATAATATTTATGTGTAATTACATTCCCAAGAATATATACAAATACCGTATTAATGTCATTAATACCGTATTTTTAATGTTCAATAAGCGATTCACCTACAAATTTAATATTGACCTGGCAATAGCACTAAAATCCGGTGTTTCAAGGTTATATGACGCTGCCCTTACAGGACCGTTTGTAGTTTATTATTTATGCCGCGTTTGAGAATCCACATCGGATGCATCTGAGATGTAGTAAGTAGTAAATCTTTGATCACGTGATTCAGTATACGTAAATGTAATGGGACAGATGTGTCCGATGTGGATAAAAAACGCTCGAGATGTAAAAAATGCATCCGATGTGGATTCTCAAACGCGGCATTAATTACACGATGAAAGTGGCATTTTATTTTTAGTTTTGTGTAGTGTTTAGTCAAATCCTAGGTACAATAAAAGACATTTTTACATTGGCTAATGAAAATGTAATCAATGTATTAGGCAGCTGTTATATTTATTACAAGATTTATGTCTGCAAATCTAAACCTACCTAAGAATTATAATTATGTAAATAGAGAGCTGTATATTTATATACAGGCTGCCCAGCGACGGGGAGACATTATCGATATCGGTTTTAAGGCATTTTAAAACATAAACCCGATCTCAACAATCTTAGGAACTCTTCTGTCACTCGATATTTTAATCGGTACTTCCTCTTCGCTTTTTGGCTGGCACAACAATTATTTACATTTCTTCATTCCTTACCGCGTTCGAACCAGTAAGGTTTAAAGAAATTAAAAAAAAAACCTACTTTAAAAATAAAGATGTTAATGATTTTCTTATGGATCCCATCTTCAGATCTTGACTTAATGTATATAAAACTGTTTCCTTTTCTAACAAAAATAATCCTAGAAATCGGGCAACGTGGTAAAGAATTATCGCTCAACATACATAAAAAAATATTTCAACGAATTGAGAATATCCTACCATTTTGAAGTATGTTAAAAAAAATTTGTTAATAAAGTGAAAAGTAGGGCATGAACATATATTATAAAGTATATAAAATGATAGATAAATCCAGTTTAGAAGGTATTATAAATAAACTGTGGAAATATCGAGAATCTCGATTTGGAATCGGAAAAATATTCTACGCAATTTAGTATGAAAGCTGATCAAAATGAAACACATGAACGACAAACTGTTATATTGACAATTTTCTTCAAACGTTTTCTATTTTTCCGAAAACTAACTAGATAGTTCGAAAATCATTTCCTTCGTTAAAACGCCTCTTGTTCCGAAAAAGGTACACGCCTGCCAACATTCATCGTTCATTAAAAAAGTGATAGATACAAAACGCTTCGTATTGTAAGGCCAAAATATATTTAGAAATCGAAATAGTCATATAAACAAAAAACTCATATGAGTGAGATAACTACCAAATTAATGATTTACAAGTTTATTCCTATTATTTATAAAATAGGTTTGCAATGTGCTGGTGTGGAATGTTATCATCGACTAAAACAAAAACTCTCGAAAGGACAGTAGACTTGGTAAACAAGGCAATTACTGATGCCTACCAAGAAAACTGTCCCGAAAAAGAGAGATGCCAAGCGAGAAAAACAGTCTGGTGGAATAAACACCTAGATAGCCTGAGAGGCGAGGTGCGAAGGCTATTCAACAGAGCCAAATCCACACAAGACTGGACTACTTATAAAAATAAGCTCACAGAGTATAACAAAGAAGTACGCAAGGCTAAAAGAAACTCATGGAGGAAGTTCTGCGAAGAGGTCTCAGAGACCACCGCCAGCGCTAGAATTCATAGAGTTATAGCCAAAGACAGTACATCTAGTCAAGTGGGATTCCTCAAAAAAGAGGATGATACCTACACCACGACACTAGAGGAAAGTCTGGAGATACTAACTCAGGTGCACTTTCCGGCCTCAACTATCCTAACAGGACTAGACTCAGGAGACCAAGAGAGCTACAGTCACAAGGGGATCAGATCAACTCCAATAGACTGGAAGCTGGCCTCCGAAATCACAAGACCACACAGGATTAGTTGGGCTATCAACAAATTTAAGGCATACAAATCCCCGGGGCCGGATGGAATATATCCAATTCTGCTCCAGAAGGGAAAAGATGTGTTAATGCCACATTTATGCAAAATCTTCAGAGCATGTATTGCCTGGAGATATATCCCAGCAATATGGCAAAAGGCGAAAGTAGTCTACCTTGCCAAAGTAGGTAGGGTCACAGACCAAACGCCAAAGTCATATCGCCCCATAAGCCTATCCTCCTTCCTACTTAAAACAGTAGAAAGATTAATAGATAGGTATATCAGGGACGATATACTAAAAATAAATCCGCTCCATCCCAACCAATATGCATACCAGCCAGGAAAGTCAACTGACCTAGCGCTGGACGATCTAAACAGGCTGCTTTCAAAGTCAATAGATGACAAAGAAATCGCAATAGCCACTTTCTTAGATATTGAAGGAGCTTTCAACAATGCCTCAACCAGGTCAATAACCAAGGCTCTAGAAGGGAGAAACGTCCCAGTAACAATATGCCAATGGATCACTGCCTGTCTAGAGAACAGGATTATTTTATCCACTCTAGGAAAGGCAACCATACAGGCAAAAGTTACACGGGGCTGCCCACAAGGAGGAATACTATCTCCAATGCTGTGGTCAGTTCTCGTGGACGACTTACTCAAAATATTATCCAAAGAAGGCTACCAGTGCCTAGGATACGCAGACGACCTAGCAATCATCGTCAGGGGGCGATTTGCAGGTACAGTTTCGGAGCGATCTCAAACAGCTCTAAACATAGTGAACAACTGGTGCAAAAAGGAACAATTGTCCATCAACGCACAAAAAACAACAGTTGTACCATTCACAAAAGAACGGGTACTCACAGGTCTAAGACCACTAGTACTAAACAGCACAGTTATCCCATTCGTCACAGAAGCCAAATACCTCGGAGTCATATTTGACCAAAGGCTGACATGGAATCAACATCTCAAAAAACTCACACATAAAGCTACAATAGCTCTCGTAAGCTGTAGAAGAATATGTGGGAAAAACTGGGGTCTAAACCCCAAAATGACCATATGGTTATACACAAGGGTAATAAGACCCATGATAACCTATGGCGCAGTGGCGTGGGTAACCAAAACTGCGCAGGCAAGTGCAATAGGCCAACTCACTAGCATTCAGCGGCTTGCTTGCCTAAGTGCTACTGGGGCCATGCGCACTACGCCGACCGCAGCAATGGAGGTATTACTAAATCTCACGCCATTGCACATCTTCATACAAGGAGAAACCAGGTCAGCTATTCACAGGCTAATGCAGGGACAAAACCCAATAAGCCAACTACATAGCGCCGACCACACAAGGCTATATCAGCAAGTACAAAGGGATAATATTCTAGCTATGCCTACTGATAGAGCCATAACCACATACAAATTTGAAAGAAATTTTCAAATTCAAATACCAGCCCGAGAATCCTGGAAACAGGGACCTCCCGTACAGGCTGAACTCGTCTGGTACACAGACGGTTCAAAAACCAAGGAAGGAGCCGGTGCTGGAATCTATGGACCTAAGTCGAAATCGACGATTTCACTAAGCTTAGGAAAATATGCAACAGTGTTCCAGGCTGAGCTAATAGCCATACAACACTGTGCAAGAGAAATATTAAATCAGCAAGTATCAGGCAAAACTATTGCCATATACTCTGATAGCCAATAAGCAGCTCTAAAGGCAATTCTCTCACCAGAAATCAAATCACGACTGGTGAAAGACTGTCTAGAAGACCTGACAG